AAGAAGCAAAATGAAATGACAAATTGATTTTCAGTAGCCCTAATGGTATGGCTACCTAAACTGAGCCGAGAATATGACCGTTAAAGCGTGGGGTCCGCACCAATATTCTTCTGTTTAAAAAATACCTGTTGCTGAGATGTTCGAGCGTGCACCTAACTAAAAATTGGATTGTTGACCTTCCTTTCGCATTTCCAGGACCAAAAAGACATAAATCGAACGAAACATGAAGCAAAAAACAGAACGTAAAAAGTTACAGGTTCAGTGAAACTGAAAAGGTGATATTAGAGCTCAGTGTCAGTGCAAGCATAAGGATAAATTACCCAGGAATTTTTGCTTGCTAACTGCCTACCGCGGAGAAGGATGGAACGTGGGGAACAGGTGACGCGGGGACTGGAATATCGCGACAGATAGGCAAAAACGAAAATACGCAAGCAAAGGCAGAACCACCAGTTTGCACCCATATAAAAAAGAACGCAAAATAATGCAGGAACTCAAATAACTCGGCAACAATAACAAGAACTTATCCGAAAATCAAATTAAATTTGTCCCGTTCTCGGACAGACAGCAACGAGCCGCACTGCCAAATCTGCTTTAAACATATCCAACAGAGAGAACGCCGAATGTACTACTTAAGAGGATAGGAGGGACACACATGCCGAAGCAAACAGATCAATCGAAATGCGTTTTTTGCATAAATGCAGTGCAAAAACGCACAATGTCGAGGGATTGTCTGTGTATGTGTGTGTCTGTGTGTGCGCTGGGAGTCTGTACCGATTTTTCATCTCGAGATGTACAAAAGCTACAGACCTGAAACTCCAGGAACTTAATCTATATGCACCTGCGGTCCCCCGCCCCCAAAATGGCCGCTCTTACCCACGTGGTTCCCACGCTCGGGCTCGACAAAGTTTTTGGCGACTAAGCTGCTAACTCGAGAACCAGAAAAGCTAGAAAACTGAAATTTTAAGGGGATGTTTCCAGAAAGTCCTTGCGGTCAGTCTCAATTCTTTTGGCTAGAAGCATCTGCCGGAAAAGAACAATGTCGTAAACGACAAAAATCTATGGGGAACTATGCAAAAAGCGCATCTTCGCACCAGCAACCGGTGTGCTGGTCAACTGTTTTTTCAAGACATGTAAAAAACGGTAATGAAAGAAGCGAAGGGGAATTATGTTGAAGGGCATCCTGGCTTGCAGGCATCAAGCAGCTCGACGTGGTACCACAAGCACAAAAAGAACACAAGATGGCCAACTTCAAGCTCAGTTGAGGAACTATAAGGCGGGTAGCCGAAGTATTTCCCAGCATGAGCTCCTGGTATATCTGAGGGACAGGGTCGAACTCGCGAACGCTTTCAAAATCAAACGCTTCGCAGTCCTAATATTCGTGAAAAAACAACTTACGTAACGGTCAGGCCAAATCAAACCTTTTTACAAACAGTTGCAGTAGTGCAAAGCTAATGCCTTCGCTAACAATACTGCCGTCGTCATCACCATCATCGTCGACGTCGTCATTGTCATCATCGTCATCATCATCATCATCGTCATCATCATTATTGTCGTCATCATCGTCATTATCGTTATCATCATCATCGTCGTCATTAGCATCACTGCTGCAGTAACTTCACTGTGCCAGCTGCAATGTAATCAATTTGCACTGGCGCCTTCTCAACTGTCGCTAGCACTCTGCATGAGGATTGACCTGGCAAGCGCCTGTATGTCTCCCGAGAGCGCCCGCGCCAGTGGCGCGCCCTTAACATGAAAGGCCCAGCCGAGCGCCAGCGCGATATTTCACGCCCCACACAGACGCGCCCCAGAAAATCGGCCGAATACGCGCACCACCAAGAAGCAC